AACACAGCCTCGCTTCCCACAGACAGGACACATCAAGGACGTAACATCTGCACTTAACTCGATGACTCCTTCCTTCTCCCGTCCCAGGTGTCAACCCAGGCAAAGTCCTGATGAGCACCAGTTCCTGCTCCCGGCCACTGTCCTGGCTAGGAAGAGAAAGGAGCCTGCAGGATGAGACCAGCACTCGCATCTCCTCTGGAATCTTTGATGCCATAAGGGCTGCTGTGATTTGAGAGTTTGCTTGCACCTTTTAGGCTCTCTTTTATAGCGTAAAACTATTCAACTCTAGCTGAATAAATTCCATTATGTTGCTGTAACATTCCAGTGAGCAGAGATGCTCGTTACACGCTGTCACAGGGAAAGGTTTAAAGCAAAAGCTGCAGTTCCACACCTAAAATGCCCGTCTCTCTGCACTCAGTAAGAGCCGAGAGCTCTGACCAGTCAGGAAGGATTAAGACAGAAGCAAAAAGGCTTCTCAAAAAGGCCAGGAGAATTGTATCAAGCGCAGATCAATGAAGTTAACTCTGGTCTGAAAGCACCTTTTCTCTCGGGCAGACTGGCAAAGCCTTTAAAGCCAGCAGCTCACCCAGCGGCACGCGCAGAGATGGCTGCAGGTAGCAGTAGGGCTGGCGCTGATGTTTTTGAGGTGGTGCTTCAGCGTACGAAGCTGCTCATCTGGCAATCGCAGTAAGCTGCTTTCTTGTCTGCTCCAACGTGGGGGGGGGGATCTTTGTTTTTAGAGTAGCGCTGGCCTGGTTCTCCCTGCGCAGCAGCTATGCGTGGCGCGGAGGAAGCAAAACCCTAGAAGATGACCAAAATGCCCCCTCTTAAAGAGGGGCGTGCTGGCTCGGTGCAATCCGGATCAGAAGAAACCAGCCTCCTGCTGCTGGGGAAGCTTCAGCTCTACCTATGGAGCTGGACTCCACTCGCTGAGGAGTGGGGTAGGCCCTGCTGTTCCCTTGAGGTGTTCCAGGGGCAGGCACAGCGGGAGAAGGTGGAAGGCAGGAATTCCCCCGGCTCCCTCCTCCTGCCTGGAAGCTGCGGCTGTGCTGCCACTCGCCGTGTCGGTGGCGCTTGCTCTGCTGCCTCACGTTGAGGCAAACTCGCGTAGCTCCTGCTCCAGCTTGCTTCGGCGAGGCTGAAACTGCAGCCTGAAGATCCTTGACCCCCTGCCTTTAAATCCTGGGGTCTGCAGAGTCCCGAGAGCCCGATCGCTGGTGCCTCCGCCATGAGCCGTGCCAGGAGGTAAAATGGACAACCGGGGGGAGGATGATGCCGCCTGGTATTTCTTCCTGAAAGCTCCTTCCAGCTCCGTGGACCATGAGGACAGCATGCTTCAAACAATAAAGCAACTCGCATGTAAATATGAAATATCTTCTAATTTATTGTGTTATATTAAAAAAAAAAAGTACATATTGCAAACATCAACCATACACTGAAATCCAGCTTAAGCTTTTTTTTTTTTGTGCATAAGTATAAAGTGGGAGGGAATGATTGTACAGAACCGATGAACACGCTGCTGTCGTCCAGGAAACGGAACAACTCCAGTAAGACGGAAAGGTTCTGCCTGCCCTTTGCTCTAAGGTAAGACTGGAGCTCGGAGCCTTCTCCAAGGGCTCTGACCAGGCGATGTCCTGCACATGGAGCTCAGGGTGGGATCCAAAATCTGCCTTACGGGAATATGGGAGCGGCTGCTTTGGTGCTACAGGTAAACACCCTCTCCTGGGGAGCTTTAAGTCGGTGGCCGGCGGTCACCCTGGCCCCTGCCGTGCAGCCCAAACTCTGTTACAAGCTGCAGTCTGTTGTCCAGCTTTTTTCCATTATGCTGATGGACAAAATCGCTTCCACGAGTAAGATCTTAGCTCCACTCTGCTGTACTGTCACGATTAGTCTCTGTTGTGGGGTGGCTGGGAGAATCAAAGCTGACAGGTCTGCACTCCCTGTTAGTACAAGCCAGTCCTAGATAATCTCGAGAGCTGCTTGTGAGCAGGCCAGCTGCCCCGTACCCCATCTTCACCCGAAAGCTGCAAAACCATTTACAGTAAAAAGGCTCACGAGCTGAGAGCATTTGTGCAATGGCATTAACTGCGTCCCTCTCCGCAGACCAAGGACGAGCGGCCGGTAGGTACCAGGCGCGCTAACACGACGGCCGTACATCCTCACTACACAACTCCAGCACGCAGAGGGTTAAGCCAGGAGTGTGTTAAGGCAGAGTCTGCCCATAAATGCAGTAACAAAACTGAAACTTAAACTCCTGGAGTGACTTACTAAACCAATAGCTCTACAAACCGCTGTACAAAGATTAAAAATAATCATCCCCTGGTGGGTTTTTTTTTTAAGAACTTAAGTTTGCAAAACCTGAAAGAGGAAATCCTGAAGCCAGTTAAGAATCTATGTACAGAGAAGTTAATCACATAGATGTGATCTGTCAGGTGCTTAGCGCTGGTGTCAATGCGTGTCCCCCTCCCGGAGCTGAACCTGCCCTTGCACCCCAGGGCGCGGCTGGGGCGGGTTTGGCTAGCTCTCACTGGCAGGGGAGCG